TGGGGAAAGTTGAAATAAAAGCAAGTTAGTTATTTAAAAAATTGCTTTGAAGACACCAGCAGCTGGAGAGAAAACAAACAAAATTCATCTCCACATCAACATATGAGAATGTCTTCTTAATACAACTCCACAAAGTAGATGGTCCTTATGATAGAAACCAAATCCAAACCATTATAGTTTGTAATAATGCACTGATAATGCTAAAGCTTAAGATTAAAGTATTGCATGGTAACATTTTACATCATGATATAAAATGATCAAGCTAGACAACACTCACAAGTTACATTCAGCAAAAGAAACAAACTTCTGAAAGCTCTCATTAGTAAGCTCAAAATATATTGGACAAAGTTTTTAAAGATACCTTTTGTACATTAAGTATTTCCTTCATCTTAAGTATTACACTTTGATGAATGAATACAATTCATTCCAGAATACAGTAGGTTATCCACACATAATCCATGATGAAACCAAGAGAACCTATGTCAACATTTAATATCTACTGCTGAACAAGTGGCATCAGAGTTATGAAGCCTGAAATAAGGAACATAGAATATCAAGACAAAAGGATGGGGATACACAGCAAGATTAACGCTACGGAATTCTGACATCAGCATTGCTAGCATTTTTGGAAACACTGTAGGTAAGGGTACATTTTTAGACTCTTGCAGTTGGGACTTCAAGATAGTGTTCTAGTACGAATTGTTCATAATCATCATATTCCATGCTAATTTACCCTCTCTTTCGGTTTCATAGTCCTTCCCTGAAAGAGTTAGCATTCCTTTCCCATTAAGAATGCTCGGTCTAATGAAGGTTATTTTTTCTTACCCACTCCTATTGAGAATTTATTTTCAACAGACTTTTCTCTTATCTGTGGTACTTCCCTTCTCTGAGCTGCACTAGGATTCATATTCTGGGTAGAAGGGCACACACAACAAGCCTTTTTCAGTAGCAGAATCACAAATGTGGAACTTTTCACCAAGGGAAATCTCCTTGGTTCACTTTTTCAAGCAGTTAAACAGTTGTATACAATCCGGATTTTAATTTTACACATTTTGATGCTATTTAATTTTAATAATGCCATTAGATTTTATTGTATGGAAGGCAGAGAGGCAGAACATCTTTCTGCTCACCTGGTTAAGAGAAAATGCACTTTAACATTGCAATAAATGAATTTAAACTCTAACAAAGGAATATTGCTCATGTATAAAAACAAGGATAAACATCAGGTCAATGAACCTCTGATATAAACATAGTAAAGACAGAAATTAGTATCTGGGGGAAAGCAAAATAATAAAGGAAAATTAATTCTATTATCTTCTCAAGTTCCTTATACACTTCTTGCTTCAGGATTTCAGATAAAATTCTCTAATAAGAAACTTAATATCAGGTAGTAGCATTATTTCCATACAAAAAAATGTGATGTTTGCACCAAGACGATCAATGTTAGTGAGCCCCCACAAAAAGAGATAACCATCCCATTCCAAGTAAAAATATGGGAAGCACAGCCAGTTTCATTGGTGAATATTCTACTGGTATGCTACTGCAAGAAACGTTCTTTGCATAAAGAGACTATTAACAATTGAATGAAACAAACATGATATCCAGACAAAATATTGTCCTGAATCCCCATACGTAGACATCACCAAGAATACCAGCCACCCGCCCACCCAAATAACAGGTTAGGTTGAGAAATGCAGAATTGAAAAGCACCTAGTCATAAGACTAAATTATTTCACTGCTCCCCAGTAAGCACCAAATCTGTTTCAGCACTAGCCAAGTCAGGTTCTCATATGTGCAGGCCACAATTCTATTCCCTAGAATGGAACCTGATATTTATTTTGCTTCTTCTGTTTATATAATTGTCTCCTGTGAGTTTTCTGGTATATTTTATTAATTCCTTACTGAAGTGTCTCCCCTTCTTGTAAAGAAGTTTATTTGTTTCATACATGCACCAACACAGATATATGTTTATGTCAGTTAACACTATGTTGAATGTCTTAAAACTTGTATTGCCAAAAGTGCCTCCTGTTGCCTTTCTGACAATATAGATATAATGGATAACATGCAGATGTAAGATGAGTTGTAGGAGTTGTAGGAATTGTGGAAAAAAGGTTAAACTCCCATGTACTGATTAGCTAATGCATGGAAGATACCAATGTATAATGTCAATCTTGCATCATTTGCTAACTTATTTTAAACTAGAATTCCTTATGCTGGGCTTAAGTGCAACTGGCCTAAATAAATCAGAAATTCTACATTGAAGCTGGCATGCAATATAGGTCTTTAAATGCTCAAAGTGAAAAAAAAATAGATAGGATAGAAATAAAAAATAAAACAACAGATGGGGGGAAAGTTGAAATAAAAGCAAGTTACTAGATTTGTCTCCAAGTTCAAAAATCACATGTAACAATGTTTTCTTGCAAATGTTAAGGTCTCATCTTACTAAATTAAACTTTGCTCCTCTATGAAAGAACTGCCTTTATCTTATATGAAATTATTAATCTTTAACTAATTAGAATTTGACTGTTACATCCTATTTTTTTTCAATATATACCTTAGTAATGCTCATGATAATGTATTTGTTAAAATAATCAATGTATGCTTATATTTAATCTATGTAGTCATGCTTTTCCTCCCACCCATAATGATGTCTGATGTCTTGATTCCTCAATTCCATCTCTGGGAGAAATGGGTGGCATATAAATTTAATAATAAATAAAAATAAATAAATATAATATCATTGGATTCTTGAGATTGCAGTTAGTACTATAGATAAAATTACAGTTCATTTTCATTATCATCAGATCTCTACCAAAATCTGTTAAACATCTTGCTCTATGGATAATCACTTTTCAAATATTTACTATTTCAATTTCTCCTAATCTTGATAATTTGAAATATTATCTCAAGTCAACCTGTTAAATGAGAATAACACTCTTATTATTTAGTCCTAATAGTAGAACTAAAAGATGGGGGCATAGCTGGAAGAAGCATTCTACATCTCACTGAGTAGAAGATGAGATAGCAAGATAACTTGATGTTGCTAAATGGGACAGTGCTATGTAGTTTCCTAGGACTGGTGAAGCCAAATTGATTGCATAAAAATAGTGCTTCTTTTGTTTCCACTGAACAGTGAGATGAATCATCATTCAAGTTGGATAGTAAATATATTCTTTATATTTTAGGCAACATATGGTCCATGCTTTTTAATCTCCATACAGCACAGCTCCATTTCAATGTCATATTCTGGAGAAGAGACAATCAGATAATGCATTTTGTCTACAGAGTTTATATTCTAATATAAAATAACTTGCTTTTTTTAAATAAACAGGAATGTACACTGAATCTTGCTTTTAATGAAGATGCTGGTTTGATGACACACAAAAAATTGCTGATGACCAAAATCTGTCTTATTTTCAGAATGAAATTGCTGATGCTGGTATATGTACCCTCTATATAAGCTATATGCACTTTATTTAGCTAATATTGACTGTATATATTTTGGAGCCTATAAAGCCAACTTACTTTGCATATCATTTTCTTCTTTTAGTTGAAAATCATACAATTTAACTTTCTTTGCACAGTGCACAAAGCAGATATTTAAGAACAGCCTTTGCCTGATGGCTTGAAAACCAAATCATTATGCCTGTTATCTATATAAAGAAACACTGGTGACCAGTTGCACGATACTACTGTAAGCAACAGGTTGATCAATTCCACATACAACCATCAAGAAATAAAAACAGCAATGGTAGGAGTAGTTTTATTTGTAAGTGCTTAAAACTACGGACAGTACAGGTATATAATAAAAGTGATAGACTAACATTACAATATCATAGTATAAAATAAGAAGCCTCAAAACTAAAAGGTCCATGACAAATATGACAGATCAGAAGCCCAAGTGAACAAGACGAACACTAAAAAGGAAGGGAAGGCAGATTAGGTAAGAGGATAAATGGAGCAATACCTCAACATAGAATTCATAGCGACTCTCTCCAGAGCCTTCTGTTACATTTCCTGAAATATCCTCCTCTCGCCACCGTCTTTTCAGTCCTACTTAACTGCACTACTAAAGGGGCCGTTTTAAACCCCATTCCTGCCTGACCAACTGAAACCATACAAGAGCAAGGATTCTGCGTGTGGAAGGGCGGACACCCGCGCGCGCACAGCCAAGGGCGTGAACCTGCCTATGTGGCGCTGCAAAAGGGGTGATGTCCTTACCTGAAATTCCAGGGTACACTTGGTGCCCTGCACGATCTCCTCATAGAAGCACTGCTTGGCATTATCAGGCAATTCGAAGGTGATCTCTGAGGCGCGGACCGCCCAACTCAGGTGCAGGAACAGCAACAACCCCGCCGTCAACGACCCTGCGGAGGCACCATTGCCTTGCCAACCCCGCAGCAACATCTCCCAGACGGGGACTCAACCACAAGCACGGAAGGCTAAGCTGAGGTGGAAGAGGAGGCAAAATGAGCGCGGAGGCGAGAGGGGCAAATCGCCAGTCCCATTCGCGCAACCAAGAGCCCGGGGAGGAGGGACTCCATGAAAATCTTACCTGCCAGGTAGCCGAAGACGCGCCGGCTTTCACCTGCGGCGTGGCCGTACGAGAGGGGGAGGGCGAAATGGAACAGATGACCCGGAAGTGAACGGGTTCCACCTAAGACAAGACCGAAGAACTTCCGGGAAGTGATCATTTGTAGACGTGGTGTTCGCTGAGGAGAGTAGGAGGTGTTATAGGATGGGATGGGCGGAAATTAGACAAAGAGATGGGCGTGGTCTAAGGTGCTATTGGTCCTGCGAGGAGAGCTGGCCGTTCCCAAGCGGAGGGGAACGCAACTAGATGTTTCTAGGCGACAGTGTTTACGGTGTAAGCCAACCTTTCCCGATCTTCGGTTCGCCGGAAGTACCATCTGTATAGGCCCGGGGAATTCTGGGAGTGCCTGCCCTCTAGAATGAGTGCCCGCCCCCAAGTTTGGGGTGGCCACAATTCTGTTGGCCGTCAGTACAGCTGTGAGCCCCTGACTTTTTCCCCATGCGCTGGACCAGGGTGTGGGATAAGGATGAATGTTACTATTGCAAGCTTCAATTATGCGTTCATTATATGCTGTTTTTGCCTGCTTATTTTGGTCTTGTATTTATTTTTATTATTTTATTTTGTTTTGATATTTTTTTATTTTTATTGTGCCCCGGCCAGAGGGGTCAAAGACGCAAAGCCACTTGGTCTTGTCAGAAATTAGCCTCTGTTCCTCCCCATTCAGGCTTAAACATCCTCCAGGCACTGGGTGGACTTTGATGGCATCACTTGGTCCTTCCTGGGTAGAGATGGATGGGTGACCTCACACAGCAATTTCATACAGATGTCAGATAAAAGGAGAGAGAGAGTCAAGCCCTGTGGCACCTTACAAGTGAAGGGCTGCAGGCATGACTTCTCACCCCGTCAACATTGATTGAAACTGGCCACAGAAAAAGAACCACCATCACAAAACAGTACCTACCGCTCCCAGCCCAATAGGATTCTGTGTTTGACGGTATTGAAAGCCACTGAGAGACCAAGAGTACATAGCTATAATGCAGAATTTGTTTCCAAGTTGAATTAAATTTTGTGTCATACTTACTTTTGAAATATGAAGTTATTTTGGACATCAAGACACACTGACAGAGCTTAATTAGCCGTTTTTCTGGAGAAGAAACTGCATACTTTCCAGTTGGAGGCATAGATATCCTTGCAGCAGTTACTGTGCACAGAGCTAATTCAGTATACTTTGTGGGAATGTAAGATTTAGTAAAATTTAATAGAAAAACAGCAGGTTGGAAATGAAATTCGATTTTTAAAATGTGTTTCATTCTGTTACAAATCATTTTCCAAAATTGTTGAGCATTACAATATTGCCTCCAAATATGGAAAAATGATCCGACCTGATCATTGTATTTCCAACAATTTTTAGAAAATCAATAGTCCATTTTAGCAATAAGTACTGGAGTATGTTTGTTTATTCAGTTTATGATCATAGACCAATGAAACAAAAGGAAAAGAAAAATATATCTTAAAAATGAAGCATAGTATAAAAAATAGACAAAATAAAAGAACTAAAATTCTTATCCAGGGACAGTGTATTTATGTGCTGGGTAAAAATTTGACTTCTGATCTTTAAAGCAGTGTAACAGAATTTGGCCACTGCCAAGGATATGGAATCTTACTAGACACCCAGCAATAACTGAACATAGAAATAGCCTGTACATCCTGGAAAGTCCAGTAAAAGGGGTGTAATATGCCTATTTCTAATATCTTCATAGAAGAGGCAATATAACAAAACATTATTTAATAATTCTACTGTGTTTGACCCACAAGGATATAATTAGTTATTATAAAGGATTATTTTAAATTTTCCTTCCAGGACACCAGCAAGGCATCAGAATGAGCCAGAATTAAAAATCTGAATTTAGATATTATATATTTCAGATATCTCTCCAGTTTCCATATTAAGATCAGAGCTGCTTAAAAAACGGTATTTGGATAAAGAGGCAGAATTGGTTTGCCATTTGATGACATGAACTTATCATTTTGCCTGTCTCATCATAAGCTGGCATGTAGAGGGCTCTCAAGATAGTCCCAGTGAATGAAGTTCCTTTTCTATCACTGCTATCCAGTGTATAATGGAATTATCACCCAATGGAGGGTGACTCAATCCAACTGGATAGAACATTTTTTTTAGACCAAATTGAAGGCTCAGCACATGATCATCTTTATTTAGCCCAGCTTCCCTTCCCACATCTGCATGTGGAACATCTCAAGTTAACATGAACTAGCAGGATTAGGAGAAGACATTGTTCTGCCACTTCATTCCTTCCCAATTCCATTTAGGATTGCATTGCAAACCACCATTTTTAACACATTCATCAAGGAAGGTAATCTGAAATTTGAAAGGCTTACAGTATTGCAAATTCTTAATCACAATTACACCATAATTCCCTAGAGGGAGCTCTTGAATTAGAATAGTGTTCCAAAGTCTAGATCCTTTTAATGGTGAAAGGTAAATTGCATTCACTTGGTTTTGGAGGGAGCAAAATAATTTACTACTGTTAAAAATATCTAGCACAGACTTTGTTTGATATAAATCCCTCCTACAGCTGACTTTAATAGGAAATGGACCCAGGAAGTTACAAAATATTTTTAATTTTCTGATTTGGGAATGAGCTTTTGAAGAAGCAGAATGAAATGATAATTAGTTTATAAAGAATTTTAAAAATGGAAAGTTTTAATGTACTTAAAAGCATCTATTTTATTTCACAAGATCTGAAAGAAAAAATAATGTGTAGGAAACTGGCTAATTCTTATAGTATTGCTAAATACTTCTCCACTCCTCCCAAATTCTTAGAGTATAGTTTTGTTTTAAGCCATTAAGAAAATTCCCAGCTTCACCCCAAAAGAGGAAAATTTGACCTCACTATTTTGGGGTTGCTATGAGGGTTTTGTGGAGTTGCAAAAGGAACGCTGAGTAATCACAAATAGACCACATTTACTATTTTTAAACATGTTAATAGATGAAAGTAACAGCATGAATAGATAAAACCCCTAAATGTTCATACAGGATATTAAAGAAAAAGAAAATTGTGCTAAAACTTTGGTGAAATAAAAAGAATTGATAGTTGATCTGTTATGCAAATTAGTTTTTTCTTGATTGTGAAGCTGAAGTCATGCTCTGAGATATTTTGAGACTTTCTGATATTATGTTTCTATTCATCCAGAGTGTTTTGACATACCTATCCCAACCCAATGCTTTAAGGGCATACATGGCTTATCTGAAATGTTATTAACAAATATTCTAACCCAGTCTTCCCTAAACTAGTCTTCCATTTTTGCTGGACTATGCTTCTCATAATCTCCAGATGATATGTCCCCAGTCAGTGTATGTTGGATAACAGCATATTTGGAGAAGACCTCCAAGGTATTAAACCATTTCTATTTGCTTAGCAAATAACAGGCTGGGTTCACACATCAAACCACACTAAGCCAAAACCATATGAACCACGTTATAGCTGAGATTAAATGGGAAGACACTCTAAGTACTCTAGTTATTAGTTTACACAGACAATGAACTTCTTACTGATGTACAATTATTAACTATATAATTGCCCATCAGAACTGAAATATCTACAGGTTCATATGATGAAAATTACAGTGAGAACTGAAGAGAATCGGCACAAAGATTGCTGTTGCAGCAACAACTGTGATACGCAGAACAATACCTGCTCCTCTATTAAAGCTACAAAATCTCAGAGTACCTTGAAGATTCTCAGTCATCAGTTCAACACTGTATCATAGCCATGGGATTGAACCTCCATCCCTTTTTTATAGGCATCATGAATGCTACATATATAAAAGGGGTGGGGCTTCAATTCCATGGTCATGGCCACCCTCTTGACTTTTTTTGACTTCTGTTACAGATGCACCGCCTGTCCCCATGATGTTATCAGGCCTTTTCAGAGGACAACATTTCTATTACCTAGAGAAGATCAGAGTTCCCCAGCTCCAGATTCATTGGGAAACTCTACGTCCTCACTGAATGGCAGTGAAGCAAGAAATGAAGAGTACTTAATTGACCTCTCTGTTGAATGATTATCTAACTGATCTGTACTCAGAGGACCTGAGTAGCTATGGCTAGCAGGGATTGGCCCAAGTTCAAAAGAATAGCTAGTAAAGCATCATTAGAGGCAGCATTTCATTGGAAAGAACTTGGGTGTCAGTTATTTAATTCAAGAACTCTGTTTTTCTTCTTTTCTCAAAAGATTTGTTTCTGATATGTATACTATTCCCTTGCCACTTACACAAACCACTTTGAATTTAGGCCTATATGCTAAATTTCATTCAGGAAGATTCTGAATGAACTAATGCATTCTTAAAGATCCTAACCATTTTTTGCAACCATTCTATAGCTACAGCATAATCTTTTAATCTAAAAATGGAACGGGTTTGTATTACACATCTTTTTGTTTTGGAGCAGAAATTTATATTGTAAGTCTTTACTGATTCCTTGAGAAAGACCCATGTGATCTGTTTCACCTGTAAATATAAGATCACAGCAGGTCCATGCTATGGGTGGGGGGGAATGTAAATAGGTTCTAAATCTGATTTCTGAATAGCTAGAGCCCTACCTAATCCCAAGTATGTCTCCCAGTTAACATGAAAAAGAACATGAAAGATGCAAACCCACAAAAGATAAGGGCAGAACTGGCTTCCTCAAGGGTTGATGTAGTTTTCTTCAGCAGCTAAACCCCTGTTCAAAAGCAGACCGAAGAACAGTTGATGTTGGCAGTAAAGGTGTAGCACCATGAAGGGAGGGTTTTCTCTCCATTTTGCCATGCAACTCCCCCCCCCCCCAAATTTGGAGGCCTGGCATGTTTTTGAAAGTACTAGACCTTACTCCTCTCTGAAGCAGAATGATCTGGAGGACAGCACCTAAAGACCAATAAAATTCATTTATTTATAGTGTTTTTAGGGGTATTTTTTCTCTCTCTCTTTTTCTCTCTTTTTTCTTCTATTTTTAACATAATAATATAGTAGATATTTTGCTATTAAGCTCAACAATACATCTCTTTTTTTTTAATATGAAAACAACTCAGTGTACTCTGCTTGGTATCTCTTATTAGCTGAATTATGAATATAAAT